TTTGACAGCCCTTGAGACATCACTAGCCACTCCTAGAGCATTTCGCTCGGAGTACTCGCCGCTGTCAGGGGAATATTACTTGCTTTCATGAGCACCCATCGGCCAAAGCGAACGCACTGTACTTTGTACAGCCAACCATTTTCTTCTGGAGGATATCCTTCCTAGGGTTCGGCGTCTGTGCCAGAATGGTGGCAGCGTTGAATTTATTGTGAAAGAAAACGATACGCCACTTTTGATCTGCTTCCGGACACAAAAGGTGAATGGACTAGCTCTTACACACCATTCCTGCATCTGCCTTTGCACTGGAGAAGGCGAAAATGACGTCGCACTGCTCCTTGGTCAGGGGTCATTGGCGTTTTGCACAGTATTTGGTTCCCGGAACCAGGTCAATCTCATGACGCACACCTCGGTCCGGATGTAGGCCCGATGGTGGGTCTTTGAAGACGAAGTCTTGAAATTCCCTTTACCAAAAGATATCACAATCTGAGAACTCTTTAGAATTGAAGATGCGATAACGAATTGATCTTCTCTTCGAGTCGTATAATGACCACTTCGGCTAAGCCGCCGAACACATCTCGTACAGCTCAAGAAGAGCATCCACCACATAGATAGCCTAGAGGGTGACGTCGCAGTCTTCCAACCCCATCATACCGCTGACGAAAGTGTATATCTGTACGCTATTGTCTTCAGTAGACACATCCTGGGGTCAGGGTCGACGCCCGGCGTCTTGTAGCTAGCAAACGGTGTCGACGTCACATCTTCATTGTTGCACGTCTCGGCAAGACCAGTGGGAACACGCACTCAGCATCGTCCAGTGTTTCCAATCCCTGCCCCACAGGAGCCCTAGTGTTATTAACAACATCCGACGAAGAGCTGCTAGCTCCGCAGTGTAGTCCACTGGATAATGTGCCACTCTATGCGCATGTGGAAAGCCTTGCCTTAGATGTCTCGGTCCTCGTCTGACCATGCCACTTGTGACGTGAAGCGACTGCTTCGTAACGTAAGCAGTGCTCGGTTGATTACGCGCCACTCCACGTGCATCACTGGAACCTCGCCCTCGGAGCCTCGGCCCTTGGTCGATTATGCCACCCATGGCATGCACCGACTGTTCCGATACTCAGCGGGTTGCCACTCAGCGGGTTGCCACTCCACGTTCAGCCCGCGAGCCACGGTGGGGACTCCTGTCCAATACACTTTTGGTGCTCGACAACTCGGATAGTTTGATCTCTAGCACGTTAACCGTCCTAGTTTAGTGCCCACGCCAATAGCGCTTCTGCTTCGTAGCAGAGGTGGGTTCATACGAAAACTCCACCAGGATACGTGCGCGTAGCCCAAGGTCTTCGACCTCCAGTCAATCCATGGCTCATGGTGTTCCAGCCATGCCACGAGGTCAAACCTGGAGTCCAAGTCTAACACTAAGTAGCGTTCCACGCTATCGACGTCAAGAAACTTGACACCGAGGTCCACAGGGATCTTCGGCGCCGTGACACATGCCCCCGTCGCTAAGCGAACAGTGACAATGTCACTCAACCGCGCCTTCAGTGCCTCAGCATACAGCTGACTTCTTTCCATCGTCGATAGTCGAGCATAGTTACCCGACGCCCTGGAGTTAATCAGGATTTTCCATGGCTTCTCAAAGCGGATTGCCGCACGTCAGTGTCCATTCTCGCGCTCGATGCCCAAGCTTGGAGATAGCTAGCGCCACGCATTATTGCTCGGTCTGGAGCATGGAGGACGTCATGGCCATCTCGACATCTCTTACCCAGAGCAGAAGGTACTCTCCATCCTTGTCCTCGAAGGCCATAACACTCACCATGTGCGGCTTGGGTCGGGTAGAGTGATCCGTCGCCGACGGTGGTGTCATGGATGCAGTCGACGCCGACATCTTATGCTGGAGGTGCTTTAACAGAGCATTTTCATAATCTAAAAACGCATCTTGGCGCACGGTGATCGTTCAGGTCCTTGCGAGCGAGGTGTTGCGCGCCCTCAGAGCCAAGTTAAGGCATCACCTTTTTAGCCCGTCCTGCATGCCCTGGGACAAACAGAAGAACTGCTGCATCCTCGCAGAGGGTCATTCGTAACGACTCGGGTACAAATGCTACCAAGTGCAGCGGGGCTGTCGTAGCTCTTTCGCTTAGAGGAAGCTTAGTTAAGGTCGGCGATCTTCGTTCTATACTTAGAACCAGCTCGGCTCTAGCGGATCGCAATCCGCAACTACAACCTTAGCCCAAGGCAAATCCACCCTTCCGCTTAAAGTCTATACTTGGAACCAGCTCGGGTCTAGCGGATCGCAATCCGCAAATACAACCTTAACCAAGGCAAATACACTCTTCCGTTTAAAATATGAACAATATTCTTCGATTTTATTTGCGGCAAAGCCGCCTATCTCTAAATCTATAGGTTTTCCTATCGATATAGAAAACCTAATCGAATGCATAATACTGGCTAATTCAGCCACGTACTGACTTGTTGTTTAAGTATAGCCACACTATTGTGTGATCACCCTTCATACTAGGGCACGTGGAACCCCGTTCCACAGAGCCTCGCATAGACGAAATCAGCTCTATCTCTAGCGTGGTCCATATATTAGTGAGGGAGAGTGATATGGGGAGATAATCGTTATCATGTGTACTTACTCCATAAACTTCTGGTTTAACTGCATTATATGCAATCGTATAATTGTATGGTGGACTTGTGCATTTTAATAACTACCGTATTGCTGGTTAGATACCAGCTAACAAAACACTTGTTAGGCTTAAAGCTCTCATTACCGTTCCCGATTTGAGCCAACGAAATGCGTTGTAAGCGCGGAGTTTCAAACCGAAGCTTACCTGCGCAGAATACACATTATCCCCTTTGCTCATGGCATGCAATACAATACTTATAGTTTTACCTTTAAACCTATTCAAACAGATAAGTCAAGGATAATTTATATTCGACTAATGTTCGATTGCACACCAATGAAATGTATACTTCGTACAAATTGGTATTTTATAAAAGGCACACAGCATGGCTATCGTGCATCGAAGCAATAATGGCGGCTCGTGCACTTCTTGGCCGTCCCCTATTTTTTTCTTTTTAGCATTCAGCTTGAACAGCTGATCTAATCCAGTGGATTTAAAAGGGTACTTTGTCTGAAAAAGTCAATGCAATGTTACAGCAGCCAGTTTGTGAATCAATCGTCTCTGTAACGCCAAGTAATTTATTTAAGCATTTTCGACATCTAAGAATCGAAACCGAGATGATATAGTGGTAGACTAACTGGTAAAGTTTGCCTATTCTTGCTGTTTAGTACGCATGCTACGGTAGTAAGTGGTATAAATTCAGATATATCTTCGACTTTTAACCTGACGAGTGTGACAGGCAAATGATTATATGAGATTAGCACGTGCCTCCGTCAGCAGAATACTTCATGCTAAATATTCAAGAACTCCTGTTGTGCTCATCCTATTCGACTGCATTTTTTTCAATTACATCCGCATATGGTTTGTCTCTAGCTTGTAGACTTTACTGCGAAAATTGCACTACAATAAACAATCTGATCTTATACGTAAGTTCTTTGCGTATTAATGTCAGAGTAATGGCAGTGTTGCATATTTATCTATATAAATTATAGAGTATGAAGGCCTCGTCGGACTTTTATCACGTATATTCGTGTTTATTCTAGTATTGTTCTGTCACATGCTCAACGCACTACAATACATCGCCTCATGTATAAGCTAAACGTATGGTAGGATATTACCGACTGTTTGTCACGAGCTTGGCATAGGATGCAGGTAAAACTGTAATTCAATAGACGTAATTATCAATGTATGAATTACAACTTCGTGTCTACAGCGTAAACAGTTAATACGATGACAGGATGTGAATACGCTACGTGCTATGATGCCATACTGCGTGGAACTGGAGTAGTTGACGCCAACTAATGTGAAGTGACTAGCCTTAAAACCGGGTGCCTTTTAAACGGCTTATAGTAATCACAGAATGACAGTTTCGAGGTGAAATGCTTTTTTTGATCGCAAGGCTGAGCTGAAATCTCTGCTTTTGGCTTTCACTTATGTACTAGATAAGCTCGCGTCAGGTGTATACGCACTTCTCGAACAACACCTTCATCATGAGAACGCGCATAATAGAAATACCTTTGAGTGCACTCAAGTCTGTATTGACGATAATCTTGAGTACACTCGAGCCTGCATATTCTATCAACCTTACTAATCATCGGTTTAAAAGTCGCTTTGTGTTGACTTCTTGATTCTTCAGCTCAACCATCAAGCTTGAATATAATGTATGTCTGAAATGCTGACTGTATCTAAAGAACACTCTTAAATGTGAGAGCAACGAGTCAGTTGTACTACAAAAGCATTACATCCAGACCAAGGTTTGTCGATATAGCGTTGTCCTCACAATCTCTCAGAGCTCTATTTATGCCAATTCCTTTTCTTGGGTGTAATTCACCCTAAAAAATTAAATGTAAAGAGTATTTGACACGCTGGACTTGAGTAGCTTGGAAATTTTCGAAGATATAGCCGGATCGAGATGTCCCTAACGACTCTTCGACACGACTGTTTGATGTGATTATTAACGGTAGAATCCAGACTAAGAATTACCAATTTTCTTCTACGATTGGACAACTGCTTAATAATTTCAAGTAATTCCTGCATATCAAAATAATGCTTATCGCTTATTTTGTTCATTCTCGAGCTTTGCGACCGATCGCTTGACGATATCGTCATGCGCAAGTTATCTCATGATGCCCTTGAGCTAGCCATGGAGCTGCCTTCTGCTCACGCACATATATACTACAAAAGTAGGACAATCTGAGATTATAGTAAGGTTAAAAGTTATCACTAAAAACTTAAACATTAATTTTTGATAGCCAGTACACATTCTGACCCGGTAAGAGTTGTTGAAGTAGTACTTAAGTAGTCTTTGCAAGAGTAGTCAGTGTCAGTCTCCACAACGCATTTTACGCCGTCATAGTCATAATTGAGGGAGCAACTATGGAATTAGTGTCACCGGCACAGTCGGAGGAAGGGATACGACCGTCCCACATGCTCAATTCGCGTTTATCAAACGTCAATCATTTTTCACTCACTGGCAGCGGTATGGATGCATCTCGAAGTCGTGTTGATAGTCAAGGCGCTCGAACGTCTTTAATGTCATCTATCATGCATCCATCGTCTATGATGCGCCCGACTGTCGTGACCGACCTAAGCAACCATTTCTCCGAGTCAAAACTGCACGATGCTCGCGTACAGATCTTTTCTAAGGATGTGCTGATGGAGAGCCAACTAACTAAAAAGGGCGAGACTGGACTACAGTCGTGGAAAAATGTATGAGGAATTTGTTTATCATGATTGAGTGCAATGTATTGAAGTTTTCTAATTAATGTCGTTTTGATACAGCGCATTTTTGTTCTACGAGGACAAGAGTTATCTTACTATACGATTGATAACAAGCAGCGGTATGGTGCGCTAAAAGGTACTTGGAACGTTGCAGGCGCGTCTGTAGAACGTCAAGACAATTTGTCAATCAGTATTAAACTAGCAAATGGAAGTGTTCGCACTCTTGGTGCCCCAAATGTACAGATTTTGATGGATTGGATGACGGCAATTGCAGTGGCGGCAGAGGCTTTTATTGTCGAGCCAACGTCGGATTTATCGCTGGTGGACCAGTCTCGCACGACACACATTATCTTGGTTCGCCATGGCCATTACACCAATTCGCAAACACCATCGATAGACATGCACGGTCCTTTAACTGAACTTGGCGTGGACCAAGCTCGCGCGACAGGTTTGTTCCTACAAAAGTATTTGTCTGATCGAATGGTATTAAAACGGTACCCAAGATTCCCAGTGTATCACAGTGGAATTCGTCGTGCTGTTGAAACGGCAGAACATATTGCGTCTGCATTTCCTCCAGGATCGGTTCAATTTCTTGAAAACAAACTTTTTCGTGAAGCATGGCCAGGAAATCCGTTGCCAAATAGCAACCGTCAGCAATTGGCAAGAGAAAAGCTGGACAATATGGTAGCAGACTGCGCTCGTTTAAAACTTGCATACCGTACTATGTTTCGGCACTTGATTCCGCAGGATTTGGAAATCGAGGAACGAAGGTTAAGTGAGGAGGACCAAAAAGTGTATATGGATACCTTTGGCGTCCGCTCGACACAAACGCGAATGAATGACCGATTTCGTGTTGTTGTGTGCCACGCCAACATTATCCGTTGGTTTGTGTGCAAAGCGTTGGGTGTAGATCCGGATGGGACGTGGGGTCGCATGCGCTACAATCACTGTGGCCTCACAGCCATGGAAGTTGACAGTGTTGGCAATGTACAGCTCACTTATATGAACCAGACGGGGCACTTGGAGACGACGCAGCTCTCAGAGGTTTAAGCAAGTGTTGTGTATTGTTGTACAAAGTGAGGTCAGATGTTACAATTACAGAGCAATGTATCGACCATTTCTTAAGTTGCTGGTGTACATAATGATCTAAATAAATTTGTGAAGTCGACTTTTTTGCACAAATGCAAGTAATCGGAACGACAGCAATACATTAGAATTTCAGATCTTGATATTTGCATGAGCTTTGTAACAAGCTCAGATTTGGTGTTCCTAAATCATTCACTTCCTACCATTGTCATGTTTCCAATCTGGTAGGTAAACCATAAAAATAGGTAGGTATTGGCTCAATACCCCTTGTGAACTCGAAACACCGTCTAATTGACTTGGTTATTCATCATTGAGCACCAGGCTAGTCGAGGTTCGTTTGCTAAACGAACAAATGTAATACTGATGCATGAAAAATAAACGTTAAGCCGCAACATTGTTCTTCAACAGTATTCAGCAGTGTAATCTCAATACTCTTGCTCGCCGTTGATGCTTGTTGATTTCTGGCATTGGCGTCTCGATACTCACCGCCTCGCGTATAAACGTAAGCATCTTTGTTCCGAGGATCTTCGTCAGCATATCTGCATGCTGACGTTTTGTTTCTATGTAAACGATATTAAGAAGTCCTTCTTGCATGTTCTCGCGTATCAAGTGGTGCCTTATGTCTTCGTCCGAGCATGGTATCCAACATCATTGGCTAATGCGACTGCTCCTTGGTGGTCTCGCCAAAATTGTGCGCCTTCCGCTTGCTTGTGGCCCATGACCTTAAACATCGCGCCCGTCAAAAGACCTTCCTGAGTGCAAAGGCTGAGAGCCATACAATCAGTCTCCGCCTAGATGAGTGCAACAATTTGCTAGAACATTAACTTGAACATTACTGACATGGCTGCAATCATGATCATAACTCGGAGAGCTGAATGTCTGTCATCGGTATTGCTGCCTCCAATCAGCGTCTGATTACACCCAAACTGCAATGTTACCACTGGATTATTTAGGTAGCAAACCACGCGAATAGCTGATTTCCAATGCTGAAATCCGGGATTCTCCAGCAAACATGACAGCTGTGTTATCACGTATGCAACATCCGGTCGATTTCATGTTGTTATGCACAGAGGACATCCAAGCAAGGATCGATATAATTTCGAGCGCATTTATTAACCACCCTCTTCCATTGTAGGCGACTAAGTTGACGACAACTTTAAACCTGATGTGCATAATTCATCGACACTCTTGGAATCTTGTTGACCGAGCTGTCTGACCACATCGTCAATGTCTGTTTGATCATATGTGTTCTGGCTAACTTGTCGTGGTCAATCTTCACGCCGAAAATGTAATCCGCCTTGCCCAACTCCTTCATTTTGAATATATTTCTAAGCACTTCTTTGACCTTGATTGATTTTGTTTTTTTTTGTGAGAAACATGTCATCCAAATATAGTCCAAAGTGGATAGAACTCTTAGTGATCGCTTGATGTTAACACATTGTCCATCGCAGCAGCTTTCAAGGCCATTATTCAAAAGACACGATGTCTTGTTTCAGGCTCTTGTTGTTTCTTTCAATCCGTATATAGCCTTTCCGACTGATAGACGTATCCCCGAGCATTGCCACCACCCGGCAAACTTCCATTTAAACGTTGTCTGTTTGCACATTGTCAAGAAAAGTGGTATCTGTTCCATTTTTGGTAATGGCTTTCTGCTCATACTGCAAGTATCATCGAGTTTAACTTAATGTTAGCGACCAGGATATAGATCTCAAAGAAATCGAAACTTTCGCGACAAGTTGTGCATTGTAACACACAACGGGACCATTTTGATCGCGCTTCTTGACGAAGACCCATCGTAATCCAGTTGTGCGATTGTTTTCCCTCTTGGTCTTGATATCCATGTTTGGTTCTGCCCATGTGAGCAAAGATCAGCTTTGATAGCTTCAAACCGCTAAGCTGTATCGTTGCTTGCAATTGCTTGAGCGTATAAGCCAGCAACTTCGATTCGTCATCTCTTCTCACCATGAACGAGAAAACGGAATCGGCAATGGGTAGGGCTTCGTCGATCCTAGCGCGTTTCGGTGTTGATGGGTCATTCAATTTTTCAATGCCTCTTCGTCGACTAGGCCATTTCGTAGCATAAGCATCGGCTCATTTCTTTGTCTTGTTCGCTCCACTTCAGGCTGAAATACTCACCGATCTTATTGACGCGGAAAAAGGGATAAACGAGCTCAGTACTATTTTTATCGGAACGCTCGGAAGGCATCAGCTGCTGTATACTGACCCTTTGTGTACGCTAGACATCGTCCATTTTTCGAGGTCTGTGGCTGGGTAATCCACAGTTTCATCCAGAACTGGCTGTTGATCCACTTGGCTTTGAGCATAACTATCATCACTGTACTATACAGTCACTTCTGTCCATAGCACATGCGTGTCGAAATATTTTTTCGCTTATCGAGCCCATATAGCAGATCACTTGATCCATGGAATTCTTCAGGTCAAACACATGATAACACTTGACATTTCCCGCATAATCACTAAATATATATCTGAAACTCTTGGTTTTGAGCTTTGTTGACTTTGCATCATCAACATGAGCGTGACCCTGCGATCCGGACACTCGTAAGTAATCCATTCGAAGCTGGAGGTTAACTCATATGATGTGATATCGAGAGAGGCTGCATTCGCCGGGCGATCAATCAAATAAACTCTGTAATCACTGCTTCCGTCTACCATTCAATTGAATGTAACGTTTCGTAGTAGAACATACTGCGGGCCTTTTCCATGATAGTCCAGTTCATTCGCTCCACCATATTTTGCTGAAGGCTAAATGGAACAGAACGTTGGTGGGTAATGCGGCTCCGATGACATGTCTACCATTGTTTTGTTTACGAATTCTGCTTTTTGATAAATTTCAAGCATTTGAGACGAACACCTTGGCTTGCTAGATCGTTCATTCTTGTTCTTGATCAGGGAAATCGCAACGAATCGTGATAATCATCCTACAATGTGAGAATATTCTTTGCACCTCCCTTTGACGGAGTCTGTACTGATTCCTTTGCATCTATGTGCAGGCGCTCCAGGACACATATCGTCTTTGTGATCGAACGTGGGGCAAAATTTCGTGACTGTCTGCTTATTCTTCAAACACCTGGGGCACAATGTTTCTGATTCCTGCTTGATCATCGGTATGTCGTTGATCGGACGCTGAGGCTCGAGCAAAGCGTTCTTTCTTGGGTGCCCCATGCGAGCAAGACAAAGCTCCCACTGAGTGTCAACCTTTGGGATACTCCACCTAACATGCTTCCTCCTGCTTACATACACTTAACCAATATGTAATCCCGATGCAATCGATTTTTCCATGTTCAAGATGAAGGAGGAAGAACGCGAAACCTTCACAATCATACCGCGGTCCTCGAGCTTGCCAACTGACAACAATCTTCTATCGAGTCCTGGGATATATAAATCATTGATCATGCCATTACCTTTCCGACCACACCGGAGAGTATCACAGTGCCTGCTCCTTTGACGAGTAACACTTTGCCATCTGCAATTACTTCGATATTTGGCTCAAGGTAGTTTTATTGGAACAAGTCCTTCCTGTGCGGGGACATGTGGGATGTGGCGCAACTGTTGATAAGCACTCTGCCAGTTATCCTTTGTTCAATGCAGATACCGCGTCATATTTGCTGGCACATTTTCCAGCCGAAAATTTCTGCTTACATGGCCAACTTGGTCGCAATTCAAACACTTGTCCTTGAATCCGCCGTTATTGCGCGAAGTGCCACCTTTCAAAAGATTGCATCGTCCACCCTATAATATTTTAGCATTTGTATTTACGCGGAAAACATATTTCGTAGCTTTCTTCTGCAAACCCCTTCTGACCTTACAACAGCCTCTTCGTCACTTCAATCAATGTGAGGTCCTTTGCATTTTCCACAATCACCGCCTATAGCATCGACTAAAGCGTGATTATTTCATCTTTTAACATTCAAAGAAGAGGATTTTTGGCACTACCTCTGGAAGGCCGGAGGCTCCACTTTTCAGCCGTGGTAGTGTCTCATCTGCACAAATTTTTAGATCTTTAGCGCCTCCAGGACAACAATTTCCGCCTCTGACTCTAATGCCGCTAGCTCACTAATTCCTTTGGGACAATAAGTTGACAGAAGCATACCAAACGTGTATAATTGTGTCCGGGGCAAGTAAAATAGCAACTTGAGCTGCATCCTCATAGAAGATACAGTCTCTTCAGAACTCGGTCGTCGTGCATCTTGTACAGAGAAATCATCTCGAGGTAGCGCACTAGAGCTGGATTTCCAAGCTCCACCAAGGATTAAAAGCGAGAAGCTCTCATGCATATAGATATCTATATTGTTGTTTCAACTAGAAAGCGACACACATTTGAAGTTTAATTGCGTAATGTAACAATCTTTACTACTTCTCGTAAAAACTTGACTAGATTGCCTAGCGTTACGCTAATAGCCCACGCTGTACCTCAGAGCTCCCCTTACAAAGTATCATCTATCCAATAAGCACCATTACATTATTACTTCTGAATATTCACAATTACAAAAAATGTAATGTAAATTTCTACCAATAGTGCATAATTCATTTTGCGCAGCTGTACGGAAGCGAGAAGCGTATGTAATCAATAATGCAGTATACAATCCGGTTGCAGGGCACGTCCGTCGAACACGTGGGCAGATAGTTAGAACTATGGATAAGAAATTGCTTTGATATTTTCAATAGTAAAGTCATATAGTGAGCACTATTTATGTATAGACTTAATTGTAAAACCAACACTCAATGATTTAAGCAAACGAATTCCAGAGCTCTGATTCCTGGATAGTCGCCGGTGAACATATCCTCCAACCGTTATTAAACGCGGCTCGAAAAGACAAAGGTTTTACAAGTACAGGGTACATGCAAGCACGGAGCACTTGTCGTCAATCCGTTGGTCATGTCTTGAAACGATTGTATCCTTTGAAGAGTGAAAAAACACATATTTACTTATTTGTCTTATCTCCAAACAATCCATACTCTCTTTGACGAAATTGTCTAGTAGAGCTCTCGGAGGGGAAGGTACGCCTGACAAATTTGTGTGATTTCTGTCTTTGATTAGTCTTAAGGTAATAGAACAACAATCGATCCAAGGTCCTTAAGCAGTTGTTACTGGCCTGCAGATGGTTACACATGGGTACGTGCCGGTGGGACCGCCTTATGAGTCGTCGAGTCAAGCAAACTGAGACTTCAAGAGTCATTGTCTGAATACGGAAGGTTAAGGTGGCCATAGTTCTGGATATTCTTAAGATGAAGGAAATGCGACACTGGAAAATGTGGCACAAAACCTCCCCGACTTGTCATCATCAGGTCATAACTTAGATACTGCATCCCACGTCGATCTTTGTTATCCCATACGAACATTTGTCCTGCGTTTCACCTTATACCTGCAAGTATCCTTCTTTTCAATTTATACCCCCACAGCCGCTAATTTTTATCTTGTCTTGAGACTCGGCTCACTTCCACTTTGACATTTCAAACTTTGCTCACGACTCTAAGCAATGTCTAAGTTGCTGTTTACGTCAGCCTTTTGTTTCTGCATTGAAGCTGCCGCACCATCATGCTGGCGCCAATAGCGCTTTTTCTTTTCAAATGATAAGGTTCATAACTCTTTAAAACTCAACTAGTTGAGAATTTTGTCATGCTGATTTTTTGGCCTCCAGTTAATCCATTTCTTGTGACATGCAATCGAGTACATACCTCGAGTAGGATTCTGTCGTAATACAAGTCTGAAATGTGAATACGTCATGGGTTTCAGAGGTTACAGGTAGTCTCAAAAAGACTTTGACGTGTCCAAGTCAAGAGGCGTACGGCTATGAAATTGTATTTAGTGCCTCTGATGCCTTTTCGTATTGTCTTCCTTTTTAATCTCTGCGTTGCACGCAATCATGCGACCATCCTGTATCAACCAGGTCTCAAAGTTAGAACGTCGATATTTGTAGCCAAAGTTGTGAGCTCTACCTTTTATATAAAATGCTGCTGTTATCCGAACTATGCCCTGTCGCCCTCGATGTACACGTGGCACATCACGGTTTTGTAAACCGCTCTGCGCCAAATAAAAACTCTTCACTGGGTGCCCCTAAGAAAGGGGCCTCATCCGTCGCACCTCAGGACTAAGCGGGAAAGAACATGAAAGGCACGAATGTTAAGAACTATCAAAGATGCAGCATCTGCAAACGCTCAGCAGATCAAATATAGTCATTCCATCTCGTTTGGTCAAGGTATATCGTGTTTGGTATATGGATAGTCACTTACGTCCACTTAACCAGCCTCGCTGCTCGGAAGCTGTATTCCACAGATTGGTCAGCATCCACCAATTTCTCGAAAGCGGCTAAGATTACGCGAAAAGTCCCAGTGCGATCCACACTTACTTATTCAAGATGATAACAATCCAGTCTTCGAAAGTGCGGGTCTTGGCTCACAGCTCGTCCTTTCCCTTAACGGGTGAATATATCTTTGAATAGCCCGCGGTAATCCTCGATAGGTGGTGCGAATATCCGCGTCATTTATCTCTAGCACATTTCTCATGATTGAAACTTCTTACAGGGTCCATGCACGGTAGTACTCTCTTTCATGTGCGTCATCTTAGCAAGGGCACCGCAAGCGCGACTCCTTCGATTACAAGAACTTGAGTCGTATATTGAACGGACGGGCTTGGAGCTACCAATACAGTCTACTATTCTACAAATTAATGGGAACGCTATGTAGGCAATACCGTGTGGCGTGCCCACCAGTGGAGCAGCAAAGCTTTTTGGGTTTGTAGAGCGCAATGTTTTTCTCTCGTGAATAAAGTGCCGGTGTAAATCTTAGAATTGAGAGACCCCCCAATAACTTAAGGTAGCAGGTCTTATTAAGCTGAAGATTAATTTGTTATCAGGAGCTGTATTGAAGGAATTGCACGACGGATATTACGTCAAGTTGGTATTGCAGAACTGAAAGAGGAACTTAGCGACTCACCTGACGTAAGTTTTCTCGGTTGAGGACACTCGAAACGCACTAAATTTGGGAGATATAACGGCTTTTATATTCTGCGTCTTTCAGTGGATTACCAATAGAAGCGTCCAGACTATCTTTCGTGTAGATCACGTAGCGGGAATGGCGAAAGAGAGCCCTTAATTATTGCCGACTTCTGCAAATTGTGCATTTCTAAAATAAGCTACTTACAGCCGTCATTTCGGCGCAAATGACGAAAATTAGGAAGATGTGCCGTAGAATACCATGGTCAGCTCCATCCTGTTCAGCATTTTTGACCTGATCAATGCAGATTATATGGTATTCCTCAGTGACAGGGATAGTTTTTGACCTCAGTGAGTACTCCAAGCGAGTTGATTTGGGCACGGCTATTTAAACTGTGGCGATAGTCTACGCACAGCGACACTTAGCTTTTCGGTGATGCAGTTTATTAAGCCAAGTCTTTTGTTCAAATAAGAGTATTCTGACAACATGTTTTTACATGGTCGTAGAATGTAGAGTGTGCGTATCTATATCAGACAATTGAGAGCTATACTCGATTATATGTGTATGAATAAGGTGTCTTCATTTTGTCATTGGTGCCGACAAATTTCATTTCTCGGACATTCAATGGAGAGCCATCCGTATCTGCGGATAAATCCGTGACAATAGAGAATAAGCTGCAATTACCAGCGCCGCTATCTCAAGCGAATATACTGAAAACCCTCTGGTCTTGCCGTCAACTTACAGTTTATGACTGTGGTATGGCAAGACTTCTTACTTCAAGTATTTTCTTCAAACGGATGTCATATATTGTTGAGTGCACTAGAAGCAAGCAGAACATGCGTTTGTTCTGCTCTCCGACTGGGCTACAACCCACGCAAAATAAAATTTTAATGGCTCTGTTGTGGCGCGGCGAATGACTTACACCAAATAAGGGTCCAGACCTTAGGCAACGCGTGGAACGGTTATCGGCAACCGCAGTAAAGCTTACTGTCACTCTTATTCTTGTAGACGAACAAGCCCGGATTGCTGCGCTAGGTCCTATCTACTAATTATGGGATGAGTTTTGTGAGGTCGTTTATTTGTCACATGTTAGATTTTAACAATCGATACGACGTGCGGAGCTCATGCGAAAGTGAGTGCGAGCGTTGTGAACGTTCAAGTCTCGACGAGCATCGAAAAAGTATGCAGATATTAGTGGCGAACATTGTGTAGAATCAATTTTGACTTTGGTTATTCTCATATGATATAACCACAATTATTTCGCGAAAAGTAGATCCGTAGTGTCGGCCACAGAGGCTAAGTTCGTATTGGGGATTTGTTGAGCCATGCGTTTAGGTAAGCGATTAATAAAGAAAGATTCGGGCTAAAAAGAAGAAAGAAAGATTCGTGCTAGTAAAGCATACACTTGAGTGTAAGGACTAAAACACGGGATAAGTTTCTTTGTGTTAAGGAGGTATACTGGGTAACGTCGTGTGATTGGTGTATGCAAGGAGACAAAGTAATGTGCAACACGAGCTCGACTAGGAAAACGAGATGTGTAAAACTATGTGGCTTGCTATCGTAACGCAATATGGTCATAGCATCAAATATAATCAATTCATGTAAACAGCAAATATAACTTTCTTGATAAGAGCAAGCTGAAAATACTGCGAACGTGAGTTTTTTTGGGCTCCTCGACATCAAAAGTGTTTCACTTGAATTATCTACGTGTCTGGAAAGTAGATTTTAAATCGAAGTATTCTCTTTGCAAAAAGCAAGGTAATCACTTGCGCTTGATAGCACTTGTAGTTGATCCCGCGACGACGTCATGGAATGACTCTATTGTCTGAGGCATGAGCGCACTTCTGCCTGAAAGCAGAGGTGCTTTTGGCGTGCGTACAAAGCTGTAGTTGGTTACGTGCAGAACATGCAATTGTCCAAAATCTATAGTTAATGTATTGCTAAGAGTCTGGAGCAGTTTCGAAAAGCAAAACCAGTGTTGAGGCGTGGACGAAGATAGCAAATGTAAAGCGCGTTCTCAAGAGTGTATCTTTGCTGCAACTGGAATGAATAATGGTCTATCGCGGCCCCCAGAGTGCTATCCTGGTAAGAAGGCTGAAAGCGGCTGTAAAATGGGTCTTTATGGCCGATTTATACGTGTCAATGAAGTTGTGACGAGAAAATGATGCACTCGTAAAAGGAGTGACCCGAGAAGTGTTAGGAGCTGTAAATCCCTCTGGTAAAAAAACTTATACAGCTAGTGGAACAATTTTTAGTGGTGATAGCGAAAAATTGCAAGACGATAAGGAGCTTAAATAGCACGGTTGGTAGCGAAGGAGACATCAAACATCATGATGAGTCTGTCACTGAGGACTTTATAGAGCACTAAGTGTGAGAAGCAATACGGCTTTTCTCATGAATTGTGCGGACGTGGTTATTTTTTGTTGAAATAATATCTCGACGGAGCAACGAGAGACCCACCACGAGTGTTGCCCAGGACGAGAATTTCTTCACAAAATTGCTTTTTTATTCCAAGCCAAACCCTACAGCACACACCAGACACAATTCCTAAGAGAACATTGTGACGTCAAATAGGCTTTCTTTCGTGCGAAGCATGAAGCGGGCATGGTGAGATAAAGTACATTTTTCGAAAAAGTATTTACTTTCTGTGTTAGAAAGGCTACTGACAAGTGGCAACTTTTCATGCTGATTGATGTATCCGCAAATCTGATTACTACAAGGGCATTTTGGGGGATGGTATGGTTTGTTGCACTCTGTTTAGTGCTTTAAAATAGCAGGTGTTTACCACCACTTTACCATTAAGTCCAGTGATTTCATCTTCACTGGATAAGTACTCCTAGCAAAATGCGCTGAATTGGCTGTTTATGTAGCAGAGACTACAACGGACCAGCGACATTCAATCGGCTGGTGATGCAACCACATCGTGTCTGTGAGCAGATCTTTCTCGACGATATGTTTAGCCATAGACTTGGAGATCTCGGGAAGTCGGATGTGGTTAGCCGCAATGAATGCTTGGGAGTAAGTCTCACTTTGCTGAGCTGTTCGCCAATATGAAGAGTGCGTCATCAGCAATCCCAATGCCCATTTTTTGGGATGCTATACTGAGAAGAATACTCGAGGACAGATCCTGAAAAGGTCAAAGCCATTGTGAGACCTGCACAAGCTCACAAAATTACTGCAAAGTATGCCAATGTGGCGCCCCCTTACTGATGTTATTGGATAGGATGTCAATGAGGATAAGGCGCAAAAAAAGGCTTGCTTAAACTGAGGTGCAAGAAGCCTCGCTGTGTCTCCGATTTTGCTTTTCCGAATCCATTCTATGTGGCCTGCGACGCTTCACCTTTTGTCATATGTTGGGCTTCACTCCAATTAGATACTTCGAGGCAGAAATGCTTAACCGCATCTGAGACTTGCCAGCCTAAGGCGGTAGAGAGGAACTTCCTTGCTCACAAAATGGAGCCGTTCACAAAGTATCAGAATACTTATTGTTGGCTCCAAGTCGTTTCTGCTCCGTACAGAATATGCGTCGTTGCACTCAACAACGTCGTCACCACGTCTTCTGTAAAAAATAGCAAGAAATTAACCTTCTTTACCGAGTGTACTCCCAAAGAAAGGTTCCAGTCCAGTCGGAATGATTTCATGGTGGATGGACTATTGCGTCGCTCTGACTATGAGTTGTCGCGCTCACCCGTTAAGATGTCGCCAATTGATCAGCTGATATGTTCAGCGTATCAATCCAACGCAATGTTTGCTGTGTTGATAATAGCTTTGAATAGCATTAAGTTGTGAGCTAAGATCCTACATAATCAGACCGTTCGGTTGCACCACTACTTGATGTGTCAGGGCTTGCTGTATACTGCACTGACCTACTTAAAACTCGACGTGTGGTAGAGCATAACAATGAGGATCTCGACCACAGAATTCTGTCATGATACCCATTAGTGTGGCGATTTAAAAAAAAGAAGCGCTACATTTATTAGTGCGCGTAAGTTTACAGGGGTTCCAACGTGTGAAGTGGGTCAGGACTTGTGTGTGCATGATATGTCAACACTTCAGACCATTGCCGCATGCGTCATTCTCTAAGACGAATCTGCCAAATTTGGCAGCCCAACAGGATGAACTTCAGTTTCGGCCGTCTAAAAGACGC